TTTTCCACAAGGCATCGAACCAATAAAAAAACCTCATCTCCTACAAGTTTTGCCAATGGAGAGGCAGCCAAGTTCAACTGGACCTTGCGGTTGAAGTGCCACACCCAGCCAGACATCGAAATGTTTGACTGCTCTGTATCAGTCAGAAGAGAAATCTCTACATGACCATGCAGCGTCAAGATCACATGTAAGGCTTTCGGTATGGGCCGCGAAACGGTTCCAGTATCCGGGCCAGGACATGCTCTCGTCGATCTTGCTGGAGCGGCAAAACGGAAAATTCCACGGGGACGTTGCTGGCTCCAAGTCAAGACAAAAGAGGACACAGAACCCCGAAGATTCTCGGATCGGATTTCAGAAGCAGGAGCGTTGGATACTTGACAAGAAGAACAAGCAGCTCCCTCGTGTTCACATCACGCCTCGGAAGGAGCTAAGGAATCCTGATCGCATCATCCGGAAACGCACCGCTGAGATAGTTGATGCAGAGAACCCGAAATGCTTGAAGACACGAGAGACGTACATCACAGGCAAATAAACTGCAGGTGAACCTGTGGAGGGGTAAGACCATGTTCATCTTCTCCGACGAACCGCTAAAGGACAAAGAAGCAGGTTCAGGATCTGCTGCCGATAGGATCATTGACAAGAAAGGCCGGCCGACTCATGCAGCCAGATCCGTTCGCATCATCCTTAGATGAACCAACGTCGCCTCCGCTTGCCCTAGGCGTAGTCCATCACAAAACGGAAGAGTTGAATCATCGCATGAATACCGACCAATTTCGATTCAGAACTTGTGCGCTCGATTTACCAACATCGACGCACGATCTTTCTGACAAGGTTTGTAGCGAGTGCGAAGTTTGCCAGGCAGCAAAACAAGCAAAACGAGTGGACTTCGAGTGGACACATTCGGAGACATGACATTCATTGACCACTGTCAGGTTCCCCGCAGAACCGAGAACATATCCTTGTTGTCAACACAGGCGATCGAGAACATCACTGTCCCCAGGAACTACTTTGACCAGTGCCACCTGTAGCCCAAACCAGCTGTCGCAGATCAAGTTTTCATGACCTCAACATCAACCCAATCTCGTTGGGACCAAGTACTGTGACTCTGGCCAAATCGAGCCAAAGCAGCAGTACGACTCTTGAAGGCGCAGCTGAAGATCATGCTCAACTCCATCAAGGCAGGAATATCACCTGCCTCTCTCAAGAAGGTCACACACAGACAACTTGTTAAGGTCGCTGCAATTGTCAGGAATCAAACTGTCACCTACGCGGGTGTGCGCCATTGGAACTTGCAGTCGGAAGACGACCAGCAGATCTCATGCATCTTGATGTCGCATCACCTACGCAATTGACTACGCAATTGACGATAGACAGGAATAAAGCAGGACAGCAATTCAGAGCAAGCAGCTGCCCAAGCAGGCGTTCCAAGAAGCTCGTCAATCCGAAGACATCTGAAGCGACTTTCTACTGGCAGGAAGACAAATCCAAGATTCGTTCCGATGGAAGCAGAGGAGGCACATTCTTAAAGGGGAAGTCATGTCCATAGAAGGAGCAATGGTTGGACTCGGCTCGTCAAGGTAGGTAAACGTGACAAAAGGTCGGAAAGGAGTGGAAGGGTAAGAGCATGTTCATCTTCTCCGACGAACCGCTAAAGGACGAAGAAGCAGGTTCAGGATCTGCTGCCGATAGGACCATTGACAAGAAAGGCCGGCCGACTCATGCAGCCAGATCCGTTCGCATCATCCTTAGATGAACCAACGTCGCCTCCGCTTGTTTTAGGCGGAGTCCATCACAAAACGGAAGAGTTGAAGAATGTCCACTCCCAGCATCTTCGCATGAATACCGACCAATTTCGATTCAGATTTTGTGCGCTCCATTTACCAAAATCGACACACGATCTCTCTGACAAGGTTCGTAGTGAGTGCGAAGTTTGCCAGGCAGCAAAACAAGCAAAACGAGTGGACTTCCAGTGGGCACATTCGGAGACATGACATTCATTGACCACTGTCAGGTTCCCCGCAGAACCGGAGAACATATCCTTGTTGTTGTCAACACAGGCGATCGAGAACATCACTGTCCCCAGGAACTACTTTCATGACCTCGACATCAACCCAATCTCGTTGGGACCAAGTACTGTGACTCTGGCCAAATCGAGCCAAAGCAGCAGTACGACTCTTTGAAGGCGCAGCTGAAGATCATGCTCAACTCCATCAAGGCAGGAATATCACCTGCCTCTCTCAAGAAGGTCACACACAGACAACTGGTTAAGGTCGCTGCAATCGTCTTGAACCAAACTGTCACCTACGGGGTGTGCGCCATTGGAACTTGCAGTCGGAACTACGCAATTGACGATAGACAGGAATGAACCAGGACAGCAATTCAGAGCAAGCAGCTGTCCAAGCAGGCGTTCCAAGAAGCTCGTCAACCCGAAGACATCCGAAGCGATTTTCTACTGGCAGGAAGACAAATCCAAGATTCGTTCCGATGGAAGCGGAGGACGCACATTTTTAAAGGGGAAGTCATGTCCATAGAAGGAGCAATGGTTGGACTCGGCTCGTCAAGGTAGGTAAACGTGACAAAGGTCAGAAAGGATGAAACCGTCCTTCTGTTGCCAGATGCAGAAGGAACACGGGAGCTCCTCATCCGATGCCAGAGGCAAAGAGTCATCCACGCCGGCTCCCACGCCATCAGCCGCACGGCCATCACGCATCGAGGGGAAAGAAAATTTTACGCCCGCAGCACCAAAACCCGCAAGATTCAGCCAATGCTGCGCACTTCCAGGACGACGCATGGTCATGGAGATCATGCAAGAACAAGCTGCTGGTATCATCCTTATGGCGCCAGTGTACCATCAGAAGGTCAGGGAAAAGCAAAAGCGCTGCATCCCAAAAATCAATTCCATTGATGCCTGATGTAGAAGCAGAAGACTGAGAAGAAGCCAGATAAGCCAATACCAAACGTCTGAGTCCTCATCCAGAAATGAACCTGCCTCTTCACCCAATGTCAATCCCAACAATCCAGTGAATTCGCCGACGCAAGCTGACAGCGAGGATGAGCGCACCCTCACGCACCAACTTCATCGGGCGCTGGAAGCTCACAGAGAACCGTGAGACATACTCATGGTGAATCAGAAGTTCTGACAGGACACGAGCACACGATGATCAGGAAGCAGACCTCGTGACCTACATGACAGCCGATCAGAAGATTTGTGCCAACACCGGATCGTTCACAATTGCGAGAGACATTCCCCTTTCCCTTAAGAAGCGTGAAGGGCCCTTCAAACCGACATCTCGGTGCAGTTGTCTCATCAGAGATTTTGCGACAAGAATCATGTACCGGTTATGCAAGCACATGACAGACGACGATCGCGTACTTCCAGTCTTGTACTTGTCCAAGCAAGAGTTCTTGAAGGCTTGTATGACATCCGCCTTGATTGGGAAGAAGCGGAAGGAAGCAACAGCTACTGAGACAAGAGCTTGTCAAAAGCAGCTTGCTGAAGCAAAGCGTCTAGAGTGCCAATCTTGGCCAAGGCTCGCTGGGTCCTCAGAAGATTCCAAGATAAGCAGAAGGATGAACAGCAGACAGATGTGTTGTTCGCGGCAACCACAATGCGCGATACATGTCCGACAGATCCAGGCATTGGGGCTTCAGATGCTACTTTGGCACCAGCGGTGAAGAACAAGACCCAGGCTGCTTGGCCATCACTGGAGACTACATGCGAATACTGCCGGGATCACCATCACCAGCACCTGCCTTCTTGTACATCCATCAAGGCAGACATGAAGTGGAGTTTTCCACATCCGTCTTCCAAAAAGACATCCTGCCGCTGACAACACAGTTCCAGTGCGATGCGATCACCGGAGATGGCAACAAATCCGTGAACAGCTTGCCTCCCGCTGATGGTGTAGATCCGAAGCCAAGCAGGGAAACATCCAGAACACCAAGGATCAGCGCAACAAGAAGAACACTAGGCAGCCTGAACCAAGATCGTCAATCCTGGGTGGACTATTCCGCCGCATGGGATAGCAGCTACCCGGACAAGAACTGGCAACGCTGAGAGTGCACGTTACCCTCCCGCAACCGACGCACCCGATATGCCTGACCCATCGATATCCGCGCTGAGTCTTTTACATTGGCCTCATCGACGACAAGACTGTCTTTATTACAATATCAATCTCATCGCCCATAAGACTATTTTCATGTAGTGAGAGAATTGATAGTTTCACAGGACAATCCTGTCCTCCGATTGCAGCAAGCATCAGTCAAGAAAGATGCAACCTTTTAGACACGACTAGGTGTCTCTCTTGCCTTACCAATCATGTGTGCGAATTCAATTCCAACACGCACCGCGCTTGTATATGCTTTTTCAGTTGCCAGACGAACAAAAATCCGACCACATCACAAAGTGATCTTGACGCATTGAATGCAAGCTCCGGATTAGTCTATTTAACAGGGCTACCGCATAAGAGGCCAGCCAGTGCAAATGTTTTGACTCCGCGTTACACCACTGATGTTCCCACCGCCGTTTGGGCCCCAGGCCTTTCTTTCTGTATCGCATTCATGCAGTGACAGGAAAAAGTTACACTTGCGGCACGCTCTTGCAGCAATCCTACAACAACATGACCAGCGACATCGAATAGTCTCCACATCCCGAGCAAATAGATCCAGGCACCATAGCGAGACCGAAACCACAATTGGTGCTTTAGGGATCGGGCACCCCCGGTTTGGGACTCCCCCCCCAAGCAAAAACACAAACAATCAAAACGTTTTTTGTAAAAAACCAAAACAAAACACAAGACACATTTGTGTATATAACGTATGTGTGTACTATATAAGGAGGAAACAACAAAACATACACACACACACACACTCCACAAAGCCAACACGAGAAACACAATTACATTGAAATCATTCCCCAAGCTCTCACCCCCCCCATCCTCAAAAAGAAATGCGTGAGGCGCAAAGCGAAGGAACAGGTCGGCGCAATTTTTCGACCCCAGGCTGTTGCTGGACCAGATGGCGGGCTCCGACGTGCGAAAAGCCAAGTGCACTGTTCCCGCGGACCGGGGGGCCATCGAGCAGCAAGTGAAAGAGCTCTTCAAGGAGGCCGGGTTCGGGCGGAGGGGTTGCTTCGGGTGTCGGGTTTGGTTCGTTGGGTGTAGGGCGTAGGGTTTGTTTTGTTGCTTTAGGGTGTGGGTTTGTTTTTAGGGTTTTGGGTTGGTTATAGGGGTAGGCTTCTCAATTGTGCCCTCTGCCATGTTTGGGCCGAGGTTCTGCTTCAATGATGGGATTTCCCCCCAAAGTGATCCGCATCTCCTCGTGCGTTGATCTCAGCAAAGGCAGGGGCTAGACGTGACCCCCTTGCCCCGGCACCACTTTCCTGGCTATTGCTTGGCGGATGAGAAATGGCCCTTATAAGATATCCAACTTGGACCAAGGCCTGGGTTCATTCCATCCCCAGCAAGTTTTAGACGTAACTTGGAGCGCAAGCGGCGAGGAACATCGGCCAATGGCTTGGCTCGCCGAGGGTGTGGACGAGGGGGAGGCGGGAGGTTCAGACCAAATCGAAGCCCAACGAACACTTCGAGAATCGAAACGACGGAGATTCAAGAAAGCTGCAAGGACTCATTGGGTCACTCCCATGACTAGCTACAGCTCCACGTTTTTTCTTTGGAGGCACTTTGCCACCTTCTTCTAGAGAAGCGCCCATATGCTTTTCTGTGAGGCCAGGTTCTTTTTGGGTGCGGGTTCAAGTGAATGACGGAAACCATAGGGGGTGGCTTCTAGGGGTCGTTTCATTCCCTGCACCAGCAAGATTGTTGAAAAGAATGCGAGAGTTTCTTTCTCCCACCAATTTTTGCTCATGTGGTCCTTGGTCAGACTTTGGCGTGGGGGTTTCTCCAAATAGGTGGCCTCTTGGAGAATAGGCCAAGAGGAAGCCGCCTGTCCGCCAATTGCATTTGACGATTCCTCAAAACACAGTCACGGCAGCTTTTCGAACCAAGCCAGAGCGCTCGCGCTCTGTAGAAATATATAGATACATCTACAGATGGCTTGCGGATGGTTTCCGACCGGCGCGTTTTGCATGCTTTATTAAATTTTGTATTTAGGCATAATTGTCAACTATATTGGGACATAGCTTCCCGCTGTTCAATGGTCTCAATGGAACTGGGGGACTGGGACTAGGACTGGGGCTTGGGACTGGGACTTGAAGACTTCTTGACACTCAGCAATCCCAGGCATAGCTGTTTGTTTGCGCTCTTCGGAAAACATCTTCCCAAACATTGAGCTCTTGATGATAAACGCCTCTTTCCAAGATAAGATCCAGGATGGATAGTCGAAGCTCCACATGCACATGCAGTCAAAGAACTGTAGAAAGTTCTTGCCTAAGGGCTGTAGCAGAAGTAAGCGACTGTGATGCAGAATCATCGCAATGTCATCCTCTAGCCACCCAATCCCATGATGCCCTCTCAGAATTCACACGATTACGAAGCATGCATTTCCACAAGACTCACACACGTGCTGCTTTGGAAGCAAGTCGACCGACATGGCAAATTAAGAGTTCAATGAGGGCTGAGGTTCCTGCAAAGAAGTGTCCTCCAGCACTGCCCACTTCACCTGCTGCAAGTAGTCGGTCCTCGTAGTGATGCTCTTGACGCGGAACTTCTTCTGGAAATCCTTAGCGCTCTTGTAGGTGAAGATCTCCACTGGGCCCCCAAGGATGTAGCTACACCATTCTCATTGTTCACACCACTAACTGCTTTTGAGGCAAGCACAGAGATGATTGGGTATGCGAGCGCTGTTGCAAATGGCCAGAGCTAAATGCAGCAATCGTTGTTTTTACCGTGGGCGCCGTGCTGGAAATGACACGTCGACTATACGTAAAGAGAGTCTCGACTGGGAAAGAGCTATGTTCACCCCAAAGTCATCTCGTGGTCAAAGGGTTTGTCTGCCTCGAGCTCCGCTTCCTGGGACATGTCACTCTCATCAACATCAGCTTCCTGGGGCATGTCACTCTCATCAACATCAATACATCCATGACTCCAAAGTTGGAACAAGTTCGTTTCTGTGGCGGCGACAAGGTCTCGTCTTGAGTTCCACTTGAGGAGCATCACGACGATTGGGCGACATGATGGACGCTACATCTGCGACAACATCGTCTCCCCAATCCAGACGCCACCTGTCATGTGCTTCTGCTCGGTGCGCGTAAGCCTCCTCCGGAGTTGCCAAGAGCTTTGAGAGGAGGTTCTGTTGCGCCTCCAGGCGCTTCGCCTGCCCATCATACTTTTCATGGCGCCCCTGCTTGACTCCTCCGCAGTCGAAGCACTTGAGCTCGCCCTTGTGACCGGCAATGATGACGACTGCTCGCTTCGAGATTGCCATCAGTTGTGCCATCTTACGGTATTTACACACCGTGAGGGTGGCCCCAAGAGATTGTGGAGGAGAAGGTCAGTACTTGCGGGTGCTGTGGAGCATTTCAGACAGCACCTCTACACTTTGTGGGTGGCCTCAGCGCGTGGTTCTCAAAGCCTGCGTACTTCTTTTCTGAAGGACTTGAATGGTGGCTTCCTTCAAGAGATCGTGCCCTTGATCATGCCTTTGATGCCGTCCGTCGCGCTGGCGTCGGCAAAACGCCTGCGGTGCATGGCGGTTGCTCGACACTTGACATCTTCACGTGGCTTGGCGGGTCCACCTGTGTAGCGCAGGCCGAAGCAAATCGGGAGAGACCCGGCGAAGTGCATGCGCCTGTGCTCTGGGATGACCCCTCAGCGGTATCAATCTTGAGGATCTCAAGTCCTATCTGGATGTGCGAGAGAACTGTTGGGCGAGGCCAAGTTCGTACGAAACCAATGCAGCATTGGAAAGAGGAGCGTCCGAAGTTCGCCAGAAGGATTCCAAGAAGACTTGTCACTGTCCCGGCGGCTTGACTTGCTTGGACGTCAAAACCTGGGGCGGCGCACTGTTCACCTGGAACATCAGACAGCATGTAGAGGAAGCATTTCTTCACTGTTGTCCGAGTTTTTGGCGATATTGCAGTCCATCACGAGGATCTGGTTGTCGCAGAGCGTTTGGGCAAGGCCAATGGGATTTTGACCTTAGAGCGATAAAAACTTGACAGCTCAGCAAGAGCCATTTGAAGCATGATCTGAAGACGAATTGAATTTCCAAGCGCACCTTTGGGCCGGGCCAAGACAGGAAGATCTGGTAGACGAGGGTAGACAGCTGATCGAATAGCTGCCTGATCCTCGGCAAGACATTGTGGACAGAAGCTGTTCTTTGTCATGTAGACCACAAACATAGACCAGACCTCTGCCATGGCCACGTTCATGACAACCATGCAACACGGAAATCTCAATGTGTGTTGAAGCTATATATATATAACCAAATCTTGCAAGGCAAGATTTTCAGGATCCGAAGTAGATGCCGTGTCAGATGTAGACGTAGATGCCCTGGAGCCTGGGGTGTCCATGATCGCAGGCGAGGTTGGTGAAAGAATTTCTTATCACCTTCTTTGTGGGTGAAATTTGTCTCACATGTTGGCGACCATTCTTCATCCATGCCCCGGATTCCCCTGGCCCTTGCATTCCGCTTGATCGTGCTGCTTTGGATTTGTAGCTGTTTCTTTGTCGAACTTAGTACGTCCGCATGCACGGTCAAAGCGCCCGTCTTGATCTTGACGAGAATGTCTTCTGCGTCTGGAGGTGAAGCACTTTGCGTTGAGGTGGCGACACAAGTACTTTGTGTCGGGCCTTCCGGGCATTTGCCTACCAGCTCATTGGTAATGTGCTTTTTGTCATTCATGTAGGTCCACCTCAAGCTTCATCCTTTTCGATGGCTCTGGCATTGCTTCTCCAAGAAAGAGCTTCTCTCAAGCTTATCCAGGCAAGCCTATAATGAACATCATGCATACAAACACAACATAGTTCAGGACAACCCTGTTCATGCAGGTGAGCACCACGAACGTAAGAGACCTGGATTTTGCAAACAGAAGTTGAGTTTGCAAACAAAGATTGAATTTAACACTAGAAATACAAGGCCTTGTTGAATGAGCCAGCTTTCCCAACAATTGAATCAGATCCTTTGCGGGGGGGGGAATTTAAACAATGCGGCGGAAGGGGGCCCCCCTCCCAGTGTCCCGGCAAAGCGTCGCGGAACTCATCTACACACATATGTGTATATAGAAATATATATATATTTGTATACGAGCATTCTTTAGAACACGACACTGTTTAGTTCTTTGAATCACTCGTGTCCACAGGTAAGCCTCGACAACCGACTGAACCGGATGTGGCTGGATCCCCTTGACAGCTTCAATGCCTATATCCGGGGCACTTTGCGCGAGAACGTGATCACGCAGATTGGCAAGGAGCCTGGCTCGTTCCCCGATCCTGAGAAGAATGGTGCTCGCCATTGAGTGCAAAAAGCTGATTCCAAAAGGGTGAGCGCCTCGTGTCCCTCCAAGAAGAAAATGGCGCCTCATTCCATTTGAGTAGGTGGTTCGGCTTCTACCTAGTGCTTCTAAATCGGTGGACGCCATCTTTGCCGAACGTACCCCTGGAAATGTTTTTTTCGACCAGCTGTACGTACCCTGGCGCACTTGTCTCACGGCCTTCTTGCCCATGATCTTCTACTCCTTGGTGAACGTCTTAGGCTGCGACAACGGGCCCTGCGAAACCTCCTTTAAAAAGAGCGGTTGCAGCCCCTCGGGCAAAATTATCGCTCTTTTAGCCGGGTTTTGGTTGGCACGGATCGCACGTGAGCAGGGGTCACCATCTATGGAAAGCTCCTTGGCTTTCCGGCAAGAAGGTGTTCTGCGAACTTGGAAAAGCTTGTTGAACACTATGAGCCAGCTCCACGGGACCAGTTGGGATTGGTGTCTTCTCACCTATGTTATCCGACCGGCGAGGGTTAAGGTTGGTGCAGAACCCAAAGGGCTTGAAGTAGGTGGTTTGGTTGTGCCCTGACTCAACTTAGCTTTTCAACCTGTCGCCCGTTTGGTTTTTCCACGATTTCCCCTTCCAACCAGGACATAATGATCATGTGTTGCAGGGGTCTATGTCTGGCCTAGTTATTGCAAACGCTTCGTGCTACCCGCATTGGCCAGTATCAGCCGGATTCTTTTAGTTGTTTTTTGCCTTGAAGTGCCGTGTGTTCTGAGTGAGTGAGTCGGCGCGATGCTAGAGCAACTTGCGCAGGGCAACTTCATTTGCCCAGAGCAACCCAGAGAGACACGCGCTGTGCTATGGGGTATGGCTTTTGTGCTTGTGCATGAAGCATCATGGTTTGGGGGGCGGGGGCCGTGTGAACTAAAGCATTGGGAGACAATGCTTTCGGCCAAATCGTCAATGGAACCTTTATTTAGAGGAGAAGGGACGAAACTGGAAGCGCGATGCAAGCTGGAGAGAATGATGCCGGGGGTCTGGGGGCCGATCACCCGCCTCTGTACATTTGTCCAACAGTGTTGGACCTAACGGGTGAGTTACGGCGCTAGCTTACCAAACCCTTCCTGGGGTTGTCTTGTAGGGAACCCCAGATTATGGTTTTTGGTTTCTTGTTAGAGCCAGGTTTCCTTAAGAGAGACACACCCACCTCTCGAACAAATTTCGGGTCGTTCAGTTCAATCTGCCGAGGCTCGGTGAGCCAATACATGATCGTTCAAGCCATCGGCTGGGTGCTGTGCATCGTGTTGGCCTTCCCGCTGACCTATCCCACCTTGCTGCAGATGCTCGGGTCAAAAAACCATGCGACTCCCGAGGCTGTTCGACTTTTAGACTTCTAGACTTTTCGGCTTTTTGACTTTAAGACTTCTCGGCATTTCAGTTTTTCGACTTTTCTATTTTACACTGTGAGTTAGACTTTATGCTTTGAGGCTTTTGAGACGCTTAGCCTCCTAGAATTTGGATTTGGGTCAAAAAAGCACAGAGGATGCTGAAGTGCGCGTTGTCCAGTGGCTGTCCGGGTCCGGTGCAGCGCTTTCTTGCGTTTCTCTGCTGCCCGCTGGCTTATGTCTACTGCTACATTTGCGGGAGCTTCATTTGGGCATCGTTGGTTTCGCTGGTGCAGACCTACTCTCCTTTGCAGCTCCTGGTTTTCATATTGATCATGACCTTGCTGGTTGCTCAGGCAGGCGTTCAGTTTCTTCTGTTGTTTTCGCACCCTTGGAGGTTCATTTGTTCAATTCACCAGTCAACTGCAATGTTTGAATGAGAGTGACCCTGTCAGGTCATGTGGTTGTTTACGAGGAACTCACATTTCAAACACTTGCCGAGTCGATGTATGAGGCGACAGACTTACCAAGAAGTCAACTCCGGATTGCTTTGATTGTGCCTAAGCCGTCAAGGATCGCGGACCCGTCAATATTGCTTTGTCTCAAAATAGGAGAGCCCACTTCCAGCCATCCAAAAAGGGTTCCCCGACAAAAAGAGACACCTATCAGACTTATTGTGGATCTTTCAGAAGTTCTCAGGCCGCAAGGCAGCCACGCAAACAACATCACACAACTGGATTTTCCCCTTGTGGGTGTTTGACGCATCACCTTTTTGTTCAGATTGAAAGTGAGTTTGCGTTTGGTGCCTGACATAGAAGTCTCATCCTAGTGTGATATTGTCAAGGAAGGGGTGCAGCTTTTTTTAGCTCCAAAATTGGAGCCTCGAGCTGGAATCCCGGCGGGACAATTGTTCCGCAGATTTGATTGTTGCTTTCAGAAATGGAAGACCGAGCCGTACGCCTTGCAATGGTATGAGCAGCCCGAGCACTTCCCTCACATTCCAGTGTGGTCCACTTTACCCGCATGGGAATTTGG